TCTATATCTACACACACACACACACACACACACACACACACACACACACACATGCCCATATATGCACTCTGTTGTAAACAAAAGCTCCAAGAGATAAACCCTTTTGTCCCTTAACTTTGTTCTCCTCCCATACACACACACACACACACACACACACACACACACACACACCAATCAAATTATTCAGTGTTGTTATAACTTTTCTGAACTCAAAATCTATTTTAGTCTTACTAGACATTTGCCAATTCGCTTCACTATCTTCAACCTTAGCTTTCTTCTCTGTAAAATGAAGAGTTTGGCCTAACTGGGTTCCAAGTCTCTCAAGCTCTTAAAGTTTCTATGCTGTGATTGAAAAGTGCTTCTAATGTATCCATCCTCTCCTTGGAAAGTAAGGTTATTTAAAATTATATGGTGCTTACATTATTCAAAAGAAGTAATGTACTGCTGAAGGTATTTAATTATTCCCAGTGATAAATTAACACAGGAAAATTTAAATAGCCATGTCAGAATTTGAATATAACTTGACCTGAGATGCAGGGTAACTTAGATATTTATATCTAAGAGCCATGATTTGGGGGGCATGATTTATGGTGGAGTGGGCATCCATGCTTAGACCACATGATCTTCCCTCCTCTTCTTTTGTAGTTCATTGAACCAGTAATGGGGACACCTAACCCTAGAGTGGCCCATTCAAAGGATGGTTCGTGTCTGCTTCAAAATGTTGAGCTTACCATCAGATGATCTTGGCATTCTGAGCTCAGAAATACTAAGAGAGGGAGTTAGCAACAGGTTCAGAACCTTAAAGAATGTACTGAGATATCATGAAAGGAGAGTTCAGACTATAGTCATGAAGGGACAAATGCCAGAGAGACAGAGGTACCAGCAGAGGGACAAGAGAGGCTGGCCCATGAGAGACAAGGAGTGGCCTTAGTCCTTGGTGTTCTCTGGGCTCAAAACCTAAATTACAGAAATCATGAAAAGTCTCCTTTTACTTGAGAGACTTACTATGAAAACCACCACACTAAAGTGATCAGTGTGCAAAAATCCCACAGAGAATCTCTAAGCTTCATGAGGTCATCTAAGTTATTTACCATCCCATCCCTAGCACCCCCTGGAGTGACAAGCATGAAGTAGATGAGTAAATATTTCTTGAATTAATAAATGTACTCTTTGATCAATCAATTAACACTGTATAATTTTTAGAAATTTAATTTTGTCTTTTACATTTAGCATAAATATATCTAAAACCACATTGTATGTAACTAAGAAGACTATTCTTAAAGATTGCAAAAAATAAAATTTACTATCAATATTGATAAAATTAACTACTTTCTTAAACTGGCTTTTAACTTTAAACTCTTGCTTCCCTAGATGAAAACGTTATGCAAATAGGGCTTTAATGAAGTACAGATTTTCTAAAAGTAGGTACCATCCTTAGAGTCTATTTGCAGGTTGAAGGAATCTGCTTTTTTCTAGTTATATTCTTACCTATTTATTATTTGGAAGGTGGTCAAGCCTTGACCCTTGTATTCTGTACATATTGGCTCCTCCTTCTATTTATGAGCTATTCCAGTGATGGATTGTGTTGACCATCCACTATCATTCTTGCCTTGTCTCTTATGTGACCAAAAATAATGTTTCCGAAAGAGAAGTAAATGGGGTTAGGACATGCTGTCTGTGGCCAAGGAAACAAACAAAGCAAAGTTAATTCTTCAGAATACTATTGCATAGCCACAGGCAATGGAATTGATCCCGGAGAATCAAGCTCATTACCACAAGGATCTCGACCCATCATCATTCATTCATTTGACCTGGAATGTGCATAGTTTACAAAGGCAGCCTTAAATCATCAAGAGCAACTTTGTTTGCAACTTCCTTTGTGGAAAATGATTGGTATATTATTTGAGATGATCTGTGGAAAATATATAAAGTTAGTTAACATGTATGGCTAAAATCCAAACAAATACAGTTGTAACAACTGTCTTCTCAACATATTTATAAGATCATTTAAGATTTCACTGTCATTGTGTAGGAGGAAAGATTTAAAATCAAATGCACATGAACAAAATAGAGACAAAGAGTACAAAGATGATCTTAAATGGAGGTAGCTTGTGTTCTGAGGGGTTTTGAACTATATAGACTTTTATTTTTACGTGGTATGCAAGGATTTGCAGATATTTTCACATAATATCTATTAATTGTTAAGTACCTATTATGTACCAATTGTTTTGCCTATTACCACCCTTTGCAATAAACACGGGACTCATTCTCTATAACCTAGTGTTAATTTCTTCAGTTTGTATTTGAATACCTTACCCATGGTTACACAGCTAACAAAGAAACCAGTTACAGTTAAAATCTAGATGTTGTTGATTCTCATCATTGTACTGTTTTTACTCAGTCTTTCATAATAGTTGAGACAAGGAAAATACAAAGATAATTGGTTGTGGGCTCTTTTTTGCTCTTGTAAAACTAATCTGAATGTGAACTGGAAGGGAGAAAAGAAGCATAGGATCAATATCTGAATATATTTTAAGTAAAAATCAAAACCCTAACCTTAAATTACATCACGGATGCCTACAAAGAAGGCTTGAGGGTTTTAATAGAATGCCTATCGTAAAAGCATTTACGTCTTTGCTATGCTCAAACCTGGGGTTACCTTCAGTGACTCCAATTTAGAATCACCTTCTGTGGAAGTTTAAGAGATTAAATCCATTGGAAATACCAATAAATATGAATCAGCACTAAGGTAATTATTTGGGTTAACATTGATTGACAGACTTCAAGAGCTACCATTTGATCAAGGCCTGTAAAATGCACGCATACAAGTTGACATCTTAGATTGGAGGGATAATCATCCATTGAATCAGTCTTGTAAATGCACAAACATAAAAACGGCAAATCAAAACCTGAATGGAAAATAGCTATCACCTTTTTGTTTGGAATAAATATGAAAACATACCAAAAGTGAAAAATGGTTTGGAAGCGTCAAGTGGGCCTGGCCTGCCTGGAAGGACGGGGCGCTGGTCACCGGGGGAAAGACGCCAGTGGCATGGCAGTGGTGTTAAACACGTGAAGGGGACTTACACTTACTCCATGAAACTCCCGAAGTTGAAACTAGAACCAGTGGATGGAATACACAAGGAGGACAACTTGTGATGAAAATGGAATGGCACGGGCTGCTGTGGGAGGTAATCGAGGTCTCCTTACATTCGAAGCACCCTCCTAGAAGCTAAATAACCACGATTCAGAACGTTCTGGGAAGGGACACAGGCACACAGGTGGCGGACATCCCTGGACTCTTAGCTACAGCATTCACTTATGCGTCCCGATGCCCATGAGTCTTTAAATCCTTTTATTCTTGCTATATTTTGAACCTGAGCAATTAGTATGATTTCTGTGGTCCCTCCCCCTCCCCCCTGAGTTATTTCCTTCTGTACTGTTTTGGATTATGTAACGGTGATACTTCATATCAGGTTGCTTTTAGATAGCGTGTGCTTCATTCGGTTCTGTGAATTTGGTTGTTGTCGGTTCAGATTCTGATTGTCGTTGCTTTCTTTGGAGATACTCTTTTAAAACATTTGGCAGCAAATGAGTGAAGATTCTGCTTTGTGGGCTTTTTGGTTTTGGATGGGGAAAAAGTTAAACTTTTTGATTCATAACAGTAAAAATTCAGAGGTAAATATTTTTAGGGTCAGACCCACGATCCTGCATACATTGTTCGCCTGACAATAGGCGGAGAGCCTAACTACTTGAAAATGCAAACAAAAATGTAAGCTACTCATGTTCCTCTTGGTTTGCAAATGCTGAATGGTTTTGCTTTAAGGCACATGCCATAAAGTCAGCACTTGCTGTCTCGTTGTCACTGGTGCAACATCTCCGGACCCTCGAGTAGACAGTAGTAGTTACTAAAATGCTCAGCAGTGTTTCTTCCAGACCAAGTCATCATGCTGTATTCTGTAATTTTATTCATGGAAACGTGAAGAGTGTTTACAGTGCGGTGTCTTTCTAGGATCAGAATAGTGGGAGGAAAAGTGGAAAAATGTCCAAACCTCTTTGCATGGCAATGATGGCATTACTGGTGTGTTTAATAAAACCTTTATTGGGGCGCCTGGGTGGCGCAGTCGGTTAAGCGTCCGACTTCAGCCAGGTCACGATCTCGCGGTCCGTGAGTTCGAGCCCCGCATCAGGCTCTGGGCTGATGGCTCAGAGCCTGGAGCCTGTTTCCGATTCTGTGTCTCCCTCTCTCTCTGCCCCTCCCCCGTTCATGCTCTGTCTCTCTCTGTCCCAAAAATAAATAAAAAACGTTGAAAAAAAAAAAATTTTAAAAAAAAATAAAACCTTTATTGGTACATTTTCCGGTGTGGTGGCATTGGCAGAGACGGTCCCCCTTTGGATTTGGAGCTCAGCGGCTGATGAAATACAGTAAACATTAATCTGGGATGGGCTGCCAGTTTTGGAAAGCCAGGTGACATTTTATTATATTTGTACCGAGCAGGGGCTGTGTCCCATACTGCCGTAGCTTCCGCTGTCAGAGGCTTAGCTGGCATTATGGAAAAAAAAAAATGGCAGGCCTGAGAATCTTATCCCCTGAAATGAAAGTCGAATGCCAAATTGAAATTCCTGTAGGATTTCCGATAGCAATGGGGGAATTGAGAAGCCCACAATTAAGCATATGGGCATTAAGATAATTGTCAGATCTGTTGGCGGACATGATAGAAGACAGATGGGTACGAATCAGTGCGCTCCACTGCAGCACCCTGGGAGACAATTTGACGTTTTACCTGCCTGAGCTACTCTGCCATATTTGTCACTGAATGTACAGCACGGCATCTTACTGAGTGTGAAGTGTTTTGCAGGGTTCTGTAGGTGTGTGTGCGGTCCTTCAGCGCCCTCTAGTGAAAGGCATTTGGGAGTCTTGTTTTTCAAAGGCCCGTGTTCCTTCGGCTGGTCCTTGCTGCCCCTGGAAATAAACTCCACGGTTCCTCTCCCCCTTTCAGGTTGGGGCCCATCGTGAAGACGGTGTGGCCCTGAGAGGCAGCCATTCTCTTGTGCCAAACCAGGTTCCAGTTCCACAGCTTCCTGTCCAGTCTGCAACTTCCCCGGATTTGAACCCACCCCAGGACCCTTACAGAGGTAGGTCTGCCTCCGAAGGCCCTTCCGACCTCACTTAGACAATAGTGAATCCAGTGTTGATCCCAAGCTTACTTGGCATACACTCCTCAGGAAGCACTGGCAGAAAACCAAGAATCAAATTTGGTACAAAAATGGTAAGCAAATGGGAAAGCAGTTAGAACGTAGCCGGCTAATTGTGTTTCTTCAGTAACTGTTTTCCTCAAACATCCTCTGAAATCCTGGTCCTATTTCAGCAGGGAATGAGACAACAGACTGATGAGAGGAAATTTTATTTTAGCTATTTCCACATTTTACTCATTCAGGTCCTCTAATGTGGTTAGTTGTAGCCTGAAAATGATATTTCCAAATGAATAGGAAGGAAGGAAATTGTTTTTGTCATTTAAGATGGAAGGAAATGTAGGTACATTTAAAAACTGGAACTTGGTGGAATGATTTTCACTTTTCGTCTCGCCCCATAATGATTGCCTCAAACCACGGACCCCACTCAGCTTTTCATGACCCCAGGAAGTTATACCACAGGAGCCAGACCTGGGTCCCATGCTCCCTGTGCAACTGGCTGGCCCGGTGACTGGCAGACACTTAAATTCTCATCACCCACCCCCCCCCCCCCCCCCCATGTTTAGAGTAAAGGTGATAACACTGCCCCAGGAATATGCATAGGCTTTTTACCACTGGCTAAACATTGTACAAATTGAGTGTTAATTATGTGTGTGTGTGTGTGGGTGGGTGTGTGTGTGTATGGAGAGAGAGAGAGAGAGAGAGTCAGTGCTTCTTAAACTTGAGTGTATATAAGCGTGACTTGAGGACCTTGTTAAAGTGCAGATTCTGATTCAGTAGGTCTGAAATTCTGCATCTCTAATGGGCTCTGGTGATAAGGATGCTTCTGGACCACAGACCAATTTTGAGTGACTACACAAATTACAAACAGAGGAGAATACCCAATAGGCATGCTTATACCTTAGAAATAAGTGGATACATAAGGGTCACGTTTTAAAATGTATTGTGATCTTGAAAGTTGAGCAGTGATAAAGCTAAAAATTTCTTCAGTGAGCAGCTAACTGCTTTCCATATGTACCATTTTTAAATGCTGATTACTCCTTGAGGATAAGAGAAACCTAATTTCAGAATATCATTAGGGTATCTATTGAAGTCTTGACTGCACATATTTAGCGTACTCCCTGGGAATTATATTTTAAGGACATTTTCTATTAAATCATTGCATATGGAAGAAACTCAATATAATAGCTGATATTTACTTGGGTTCTTAATCAGAACATTGCGGTGTGTGATTTTCATGATTATGATTTTCATTGCAATTAAGTTGATGTTTTGTAGACAGTGAAATTACCATCTACTCCAAAAGATTGCAAAATAGAATTTAACCTCAGAGCCAATGCAGGGAAAACTTGCTTCCACAGGTGCATTTTTGAAACTTCACCAGATCACATGGAAACAAATGCGGCAGAAGGATCACAGTTCAGCAGCATGAACTATATGGCTGGCAGCTCGCGGTCTGCAGTGTGTGTGCATGTGTGTGTGTGTGTGTGCGCGCGCGCATCTAGTGTTTGGCAGAAACATCACCTGCTCTCTCTCTCTCTCTCTTCCGTTAGGCATGCCGCCAGGATTGCAGGGCCAGAGCGTCTCCTCCGGCAGCTCTGAGATCAAATCCGACGACGAGGGGGACGAGAACCTGCAAGACACGAAATCTTCCGAGGACAAGAAGTTAGATGACGACAAGAAGGATATCAAATCGATTACTAGGTCAAGATCTAGGTAACAGTATATGATACTGTCGCTTCATTTAATTCCTTTATTGGACTTTGATGAAGTGAACAGAACAGGAAGAAACTATTCAGTTTTTTCCTGGCAGGTAAATCGACAGCTGAAAAGAAAATTAAAGGCCTGCTCTAGAGCTACCGAAGTATCGTTTGAGATACTGGTACTCTAGTGAAGCCTACAGTGTCTTTGCATTTGTGAATTTGGACGCAGTGCTAATTACACACGGTAAAAACAATTTGTAACTGATTCAAGTGCAAACAGTTGATTTTTAAAATGATGCATATTCTGCAAATTTGGTCCGAAATGATCTTTCCAAAATATTTCTAAAAAAGAGATCTTAGCCGTGTTAAAAACTCCATTGAGGTATATGCAACTATGACTTTTTTCTGATCTTGAACGTGAGAATATACTGATTTCCCAGCTTTATCTTAAATATGTTGATCTATCTAATAATAATACCTAAACTGCTCGCTTTTTTCTCCCAGATACTCCCTTCTACAGAAAATACAACTGCAGGAAAATAGCTTCTGGTTGGTTTTCTTAAACATCCAATATCTTTAAATTAGAGTCTTTCTCGTGGAATGTTAACTCTAGTCTGACGATCAGATGGTTTTCGAACACCGTGGCACCCCTGTTCTTTGCTTTAGTTCCCTTGGGTTGTTTTCATTTGTAAATTAAATAAATTGTACCACGACTACACTTCCCCCTTTTAGAAGCTGTCATTCTCGGGGTTAGAGCTAATGCCCTTTAGGAATTAAGAACATGCCACTTTCTCATAATCACCTTTATAATCATTGGGATAAATTGTAGGACATCCCCTGCTAAAATTTCCAGAAAATGGTACAAGCTTCTTACCCCTTACCTCCCACCATCACTACAGAGTCTCCTGACTCTTGGCCACATTGGTGAAATTTTAAGGAGGGGCTTTCGCATCCCTACCGTCTTCTCTGCCACTCCCGTCAGTTCTCAGTAATTCAACTAGTGGCCGTGACTTATGCATATTAGTAGATTCTTGGAAGTTTCCGTACAACCTTCTTATTGAAACCGTTATTCTTGTGACATTTACCTAATGCCTCCCAAACTGGGATGTGAGACAATGCTAGGTAGTTTTATTTGCAAAACCAACCTATTTACTATTTATAAGTGAATAATCGGGCTTAATTAGTTACTAGCCTGGATACCTTTGGAAAACAAGTTCCCACTTTCAGACCCACTCTGTGAAAGCTGTGACACCTGTGTGATGTTTAAAAGTGTTACTCAAAATTTTAACTTCAGGGAAGGGCCACCACAGACTTGGCTGTGTTCTCTTTTCACTTGTTACAACCTGTTTGTGTAGTGGAATGTGGACATGAATTAACGGTAACCTTGACTTGGCTGCCATCAGCAGAAGTTAGGGGTGGTGGGGAGCAGGGTTCAGCAGAAGTGAGGAGGCTGAGATGACACTGAAAGAGAGCCATTTCCCACAGGTTCAGTCCAGTTGTGTGTTCACCAGCACACATCTATGGCAGACGGCCCCATCTGGCAGGGAGTATATGACCCATAGGGAGATGAGCCAAGCCTTAAGGCATCTTTCTTTGGTGTCTTCCTCTTCCCCTCCCTTACAAGTGTTGTTGGCTTACATGCATCATCTGTATTTGCAACATGTGCTTGCAACCCAAAGAATCCCACTCCCATTTGTGATTGATTGGAGCTTCTCAGCTATAATTGGTCCTTATTGCAATTTGGAAGCTACCCAGAGATTCTCCAAACTGGAAGATTCAGAGCCACGCATGTTAAGCCAACATTCATTAAGTGTACGTTAAATTGACTAGATAACTTACCCCATGTTCTCCTGCTCTGAAATATTGTGATTAACACCTTTATTCTGTGAACATTTCAGATTTGTAGAATTTTAAAGTAGAGGTTAACCATCATGGTCATTTAGATGAATGCTTGGACCTCCAGGTTAACATCCTTACAGATGGTCACCTCCATATTGTTTCATATAATGAGGAGCCTATTACTTTTTCAGTGAAGTTGACCTCACTTTTTATATCTCTTATGACATCTCTTATACCCAAAAAGCTTCTTGCTCATGTTAACTCAAACTATAACACTCAGAGGCATGACAGCCAGAAACAGACAGGAGGAATATTGCCTTTCCAGACTATACTGGATCCAACCATGCCTTTGCTATGAAATGTAATATTTTGGTTCTAACCATCAGAGATTAGCTTTTGGTCTTCATTTTTGACTCATGATGAGGTCATGGTCATTTATAACCAGTAGCTGTTTGGTATTTAGTCCATCGTATTCTGTTTGCTTTGCACAGAGCGTGTCAACTCAGATTTTCCCAACTTGTTTTGGGGGCTCACAAATGTCCATGATGTTAAAAGCCATGGAGATCATGGTTTTTCTAGCCTTTTTATTTAACACATGGAGAAAATGAGACTCAGATACATTAAGTGGAATAGCCATGCCTTCAGAGCTAGTTATTAGTGAAACATGGACAAAAGTTCTCTGTCTGCACTCTCATTGCTCTGGTGTCTTGAATGTAGGGCCTTCTTACTCCTGTTTCAGCTGTATCGTGTTCATTCTGACCTGTCTGAGTCTTTTCTCAAGCACTTGTTTTCCTCAGGTTCCAGATGTCACAGTATGAAAGTTAAAAACGACAGCACACACACCTTCAGTCTGTGTAAAACGCTCTGCTTTGTGGCCATGCAGACTAGCCTCGAGGCTAAGTTGACCGTGGCCTTGCTTGGCAGAGTGTAGCCTCGTTGATAAAAAGCCGTGCTTGCCCTTTACCCCCTACATCAGCATGGGCACACAGTGGGCCCTAACTTTAACCCCTCTGGTTTTGTTTGGGTTGAATGTCTGGGAGAAACGGAATGTCTCGTGTATGGATTGTCACAGCCATCTATAGCAGTCCCAAGTTCAAGTGGATGTAAAATCCTGCCGAGGACAACAGCTGAAGATGGACACATCCCCAGAAAACTCTGGAAGAAAACAAAACCAATTTAGAGACTTTCTTTGTCCCCACACCATTAGAAAATGTCGCATCCCTTTTGTCCCCCAGCAATAACGATGACGAGGACCTGACACCGGAGCAGAAGGCAGAGCGTGAGAAGGAGCGGAGGATGGCCAACAATGCCCGCGAGCGCCTGCGCGTCCGTGACATCAACGAGGCTTTCAAGGAGCTCGGCCGCATGGTGCAGCTCCACCTCAAGAGTGACAAGCCCCAGACCAAGCTCCTGATCCTCCACCAGGCCGTGGCCGTCATCCTCAGCCTGGAGCAGCAAGTCCGAGGTCAGTGCCCCCGCCGCCTCCTCGTAGGGGTCACGGCAGCCTGTGGCTGCAGGGAGTAGGGGTCAACTTGCCGGCCTGGAGCGGGAGCAGAGAAGCAGCCCCATAAGCATGGTTCAGAGTCACGGGGTCAAGTGCAGATCGCCTCTGAATCTGTAAGGCAGCCCCCCTGTCTCCCATGGCTAAGGTACAGGACGCTCTTACAAGTAAGACGGCACCACAGTGCTTTCGTACGTACTCTCAGGAATCCACGTTTGGTATCTTTGTTTTAGCAGCTTTCTTATCCTGTGAAGCCGTCCAGCTTGTACTGGTGACCCACCAAATGCATGGCTATAGCGTGCCTTTGCTGGCTCTTCCTCTCGCTGGGTGACGTGGAAAGCCCGATGGAGGGTCGGCAGACGAGAGCGCATTACTGCCCTCTACCAGAAGCCGTGGGCACTAACCACATTCTCGGCTTCACTCTTCCTTCCAGAGAGGAATCTGAATCCGAAAGCCGCGTGTCTGAAAAGAAGGGAGGAAGAGAAGGTGTCCTCAGAACCTCCCCCGCTCTCCTTGGCGGGCCCGCACCCTGGAATGGGAGACGCGTCAAACCACATGGGACAGATGTAAAAGGGCAAGTGTGCTCTCTGCCATTTCAGAAATCCCCTCCTTTGTCGCTCTCCTCCCCGAGGCATCAGCCATAAACGTCAACATTCGCCCCAGTTAACAAATTTTTCCCCTTTGGGGAAAAAAAAAAAACCAGTTTAAAAATAAAACGTTTACTTCCTCTGTTTTAGGTGTATGAATTAATTTTCCTCTCTTTTTCCCTTCTCAGGTCCAAGTTGCCACATTGCTTCATTAATACAAGAGACCACTTCCTTAACAGCTGTATTATCTTAAACCCACATAAACACTTCTCCTTAACCCCTTTTTTTGTAATATAAGACAAGTCTGAGTAGTTATGAATCGCAGACGCAAGAGGTTTCAGCATTCCCAATGATCAGAAAACCGAAAA